AAGACAGTATAATTTGGACTAAAATGTTTCTTGTGATACAGAATCACTGATGAGGTCCCCTACCAACTCATGCAGTTGGGCAAGCATATGTAACCATCAGATGGTAGCAATAAGGTACACACAAGCATTAGAGTCTTCAGCATATTCCTGTTCACAGGATATGTATAAATACTGGCCTGTATTTCTGGAACTAGTCAAAAGTGATTCCGTGCTTAAATACCACAGGGAGAAAAGCTAAGGATAACTGCAGCCAGACGACTGCAATATCTGTCCGTAAAAGCCTGTGTCACTCCAAGATTCCTCTTTGCCTGACAGCCTTACGCTCCCTTCCCAGCAGCTGCTTTAAGGATTAGGTTTATCTAGAACCTGTCTTCTCACTTCCTCACCTGTATGACTCGTTATCAGCAGGCACACGGGGTGATAAAGACAACTTCCTTGCTCATATCAAGCAAGTGAGAGAAAGCAGAAAATCTTGGGCCTTCACCTTCTGCAAATAGTTTAATATCTCCCATGATAAACCTTTTGGGAAAGTCAGGATGTAAGCACCCCTGTAATCGCCACACACAAACTGCTTTTGCTGTAGAAAACAGGATTCAGAGCAGGATTCAGGAAACCCAGTTTTGTTCTCTTCTTGATTACATTCTTTTTCAAGAGCTTTTACAAAGAGTACACGGTGGTTTGGGTACCTTGAAATTAATTTACCATAAAACAACCAGAAAACCCACTGCTGCTTTCTAGTTCTATGTTTTTTAAGTTGGAAGTAGTGCATTATCCCTGAGGAAAGCACCATCCAGGCTGCTCAAAGAAGTGCTAACCTTGCTTGGTCCAAATAAGCCAAGGCCCTGTTGCTGCTTCAAAAGCCGAGAACTGCGTGTGCCACAAAGATGTCACATACTCACAGAAGAGAGAGCGAGGCAAGAGGATGCGGAATCTGCCAATATGCAAGGAAAAATGCACAGTACCTTCCCTCGCCATTTACCAAATGATGGTAGCTACTCCATACTGCTACCCAAGTGCTGCATTTAAATAAACCGATTAATTTCCTGAGCCTGGGACAACACCTCAGCCCATGAGAGTCTTGCCACATACATCAGTGGCTTCAGGACTCCAAATTCAGGCTCACTTATATTTCAATTCCATTTTCAGTTTTCCTCTTGCTTTTCCCTTCCCTCCTGGCTTGAGCAGCCATTTCCCAAGCCCCGGGCTCTCTCCACGCCAGACCATTGGCCTGCCCGCTTTCCGCCCCCATCGCTTTCCCAATCCTGGCCGCAGTGCCCTGCGCTATAAATGGCAACGCAGGGGCCCTCCTGGGTTTGGGCAGCCAAGGAATGGAGCAATCACTAGTGCAAAGTATAAAGGTTAGAGGACTCGGAGCCAGGGCTCTGGGAGCAGACAATGGAACCGAGACTGAAACTGATGCCCACAGTGCCCACAGCAACTGACCTACTAGAATTGCAAAAGAGCCCCGGGGGGCAGCGCGGGCTGGCACCAAAGCCAGACAGCAGGCAGCAGCCAGCTGGCGCGGGCGGGCAGCGCACACTGCAACCCCTCGTCCCATGCCCTCTGCTGAGATTGCAAAATGGACTCCAAATTTGCACCTATTTGGCACATGAGCAAGAAAAGTCATGATGGTCTATAAATTTAATAAGCTTACTTTTTATGAGATGGCACTAGGAAGCAGTGAGTTCATTTATGTTAGGGAAATAGCAAATCAAGAAACGCTCAGCCCTTCCAAAACCCTTACAGCCTGTCCTGCGGTGAACTCCCTCCATCTTGAGCTTCCCCCACCACTGCTGTAGAAGTTAAAAATTCCACACAAATGCATAAAGGCTTCAGGAGGTGTTCATGCTATGGTCATTGATCCTGCAATATTTTCAGCTCTGTGCAGACTTATCCATAAAGCCTTACTTGGATGTTGGTGGCAGATTTGGAGACTGAGGATCTGCAATTGCAGATGGTGAAATGTCACATGCACGGCATAATTTCCTACCCTCACACTACCAAGCTAATTGAAAACAGACATTTGGTTTAGAAGTTTCGTTGTAAAAGATCTTTGTAAAAGACCTGAAATGATCCCATTTTTGATGACTGATATTTGGATTGAGTTTATAACTAAGAAGTCTAGAGTATTAAGAAGGTTTAGAATTTTTTTGATGCAAAAGCTCACATTTTGCCCTCAGATTTTGATGGGAATACCAGCAGTTTCCTCCCCAGCTCCAGGATGATCCCATACCAGGGGCACAAACTCCAGAGATTTGCTGCTCTTGCCCTGCCACAGCACTCACATTCTGCTCCGCTTCAACAGCATGGGAATGAGGCACTCCTCTGCCTCTACACAGGTCGAAAGAGACACTGGACACAGTGACATTGTCTGACATTACTGGAAGAGTGCTAAAGACCTGAAGGAGGTTAGGCACGTCGCTGTGAAAGGGTGAAGGTGAACATACCTCCCCGTAGGGCGTACAGTACGTCTCGGGTTTGGTAAGGCCGCATGTGGAGGAGGCTTTCAAGTGATGGATCCTTCCTACGAGGAGGTCTCCCACCGGCGGGTAGCAGGCGCCGTGAGAACAGGATCTCTGGGCATCCAGGAGCGGTGGTAAAACTGGGACAGCAGAGAAACAAGAGCTCTTGTTCAGTGACAGCAGAGTGGCGCGAGAGCACGCTCCTTGACTGAAAACTGTTTTCCCCAATAAATCAATTACGAGGGCATGTTGAGACAAAGCTACAAGATAAAGGTGTGTCAAGTAAGACACAAGGGTGACACCAGCACTGCTCTTGAACATTGATCTCCCAGCTGCCACCATAAAACTATGGCTAATATAATGCTTACACTAGCACTATTTCTCAACCTCGTGGTGAACATGCTCCTGTCATTCACTTCCCAACAATAAAGTTTATGTTTTGATCACTTTTGCAAGAGTTTTGGCTGCAGATAAAACTATCTTGCTTAAGACACAGCACACATGAAGACTACAGGCAATACAACTCATTATATCACAAATATACTACCCCATTTATAAATAAAAAGTCATTGCCAAGTGGCAGGAAAGATTTAGCCAGCTTTCCCCCCCCTTTCAAAAGCACAGCTTACCCATGAGTATAAATAACGCCCAAGGACAAAGTTGGCAGCGACACTCCATACTGCTGAGGACACACCTAGGGAAGAATTTGCAGCATGAGTAATTTGCAAGGAGGTCATTTTATGGATCTATCACATGGATGAAAATCCAGACTAAGAGGAAATCAAATGCAAAATCAAATTATGCATTAAAAATGAATGACTAAAAATGAAAATGCACACCTTGCTGGGGGTGCTGGGGACCCCCAGCTCCCAGCAGCACGATCCATAGGTAAGGGGCCCTGCCAAAGCCAAGTCCCAACATACACCTAGAAACTACCCAGGGTGAGGGCAGCAACGGGGCTGCCGCTACTTTACGTGCACGTGGTGGAGTTTCCCTTCCTCCCCCCCACCCTTTGCCCTGCGTTTTCAGACTTGATTCCAGGTCAAAACTTGCCGGCATTTCAAATAGCCTGAAGTCTTATTCTATTACAGGAAGAAAAAAAACAATAATTTTATATGCATATATGTAGAAGTCATTGCAAAATTAGTGACTTCCACAGAATTTCCAAACAGAAATCCGCCCCCCAAGAGCCGTCTAGAAACAGAAGTGGCAGCACTACCGCGGCAGTGAGGAAAGCTCTCCCTTGCCGTTTTCTCCACCTCCCGGCACGGCGGCTTCCCTGCAGCGTCTCTGGAATCCCGCACGTACCTGGCTTGCGGCGAGGCCCCTCGGGCGCCCGTGTTATCCGCAGCTCCCGTGAAAGTCGCCGTGCTCTGAGGTGCTGGCTCCCTCCTCACGCTGCTTTTAACACGCAGCTGCCTCACCTGCGTAAGTCAGTACCTGTGGGTGTAGTAAGATAAAGGGAGTGATTCAGGCATCTTCAGACACACACGCCCAAATAACGAGCAACTCAACCAGCTCTCAGACAGCTTCGCAAACAGAGGTCACCGAGCAGCGGGATGATGCACAGTGATCGAACATGTCTACAATTTGCCACTGAGTGAATTCCTACGTGCAGCTGCAGGACAGTCCCCGTGAGGAGCCCCCTCAGGAGCCCCCAGGCGAGCGCACAGCCCGCTGGCCTGAGCGCCAGCGCGGGGCCACTGCAGCTGCCCCTCAGCAGCCCCACGCCGCGCAGCCAGGGCACGGCTGCCCCAGCGCCCAACGCTGGTGACTCACAGCCTGCTTGGGGACATCCACATGAGCTCTACCCGCCCTGCATACTCACACACAAGGCCTGAACACCTCGAGCACCGGGACGTGGATTTGCAGGCAGACTACACAATGCGCCCACTGAGCTACCTAGAAAAGCGCCAAGGTTTCCAAAGAGGCTCCGTATTTATCATACTAGGATGATTTTGAATATCATCCTGTACATTGATCAATCAAGACTCCAAAGGGAATGTGCGGAAGGGCAGACCGGTAGCTCAATGCCCAGCTGGGGACAGCATCTCTTCACCCCTGCTCGGACCTAACTCAGTTCTCCTCACACTTGACACAGTTCAGTTGGCACCATTGCCTTCCAGCAGCACTAATGAAAACTGCATCTTGAGTTCATGTTTCTAGTGTGCCTACAAAGTGGGAGAAGGCACCAAAGGCTTTTTCTTCACAAAGCTTGCTCAGTTTTTGACAGCTCTGAACAAAGGAAGAGCTGTTCAGTAAAGGGCACTGGGACCGCAACGCACACGTGCGCCTCACACATGGCCGCGCAGCGGCTGCCAGCGCTGCCAGACAGGCCGTGCTTACCCTTCCACATCCCCGAGCTATGCACTTGTTCTAATACCCTCAGAAAACCCCAGAAAAAAGGAACCCGAATGTGTCGAGTCTTTGCCGTTTGCTTTACTGAAACCATCCCCAAACGAGCCCTTCTCTCCCGCTCTCCGGAGCGCCAGGCTGGCAGCGGTTGCTCTGCACTGTGCTCGTCTCCTCGCTGGTGCGCGCTACCTACCTCCGCCGCCTTCCACGGAGCAGCACGGGCTGCGCGCGGCGAGGAGCAGCAGCGCGCAGAAAGGACACACAGCAAAGCTGCAAAAAATCCTGTCCCTAAGGCTACAGCGCGCGGAGCGCGGGCTCGGCTTCCTGCCCCGCGTAGGTGTGCCGCGGGAGCGGGGCTGGGCGTGCGCCCGGGCGGCTGCTCAGCAATGCTGCGGCGCCGCATTCCTTTTTTTTTCCTGCTCCCGCAGCTTCCTTCCCGGGAGACGCCTGCTCCCCTCGCGGGCAGATCACGGCGTGTCCGAGGGAGGAGAGGGAAGGCTGAGGCACCTCACACAGAAAACAGAACATCCCGCTTGTCACGAGCTGCCGTACTATTCCTGACGCTGGGACCCTGGTTCTTTACCACCTCACCTGTCACCTTGCGTCTCGACACAGAATTATTCCCAAATTGACAAATTCACCAAGAACAGTAACTATGGAGTAAAGGGCTAAACATCTAACGCAGGCGTTACACAATATCACAGCAAAGCGCCCAACCTCCGCTACCTGGTAAAGTAACAGTCACAGAAAGGACAAGGAGGCAGCAGGGAGGCCTTGGGCTGCTGCAAGGCTCCTGCTGCTGCAGCCAAGGAGACCAGCCTGGCTAAACGTGCCCTGGTGCCTGCCTGTTCCACCGGGTTCAACACACAGAAGGGAGGCTGATGCTGCTCTACCCAGTGCTCTTGCCTTTTGAAACCCCACTCAGGACACTGGGATGGTCCCACTCCTCCACGGCTTACTGGAAAGGATGGGATTCAGCTGCACCAGCAAGGTAAGGCCTGGTAAATGATACCTTAGCCTCTAGCTGTACAAAGGAGTTACCAGAAATACCTTCTTCCATCCTTTCTTCCTGTGGCCTTCCTCCATCCAATTTGCTAGAACAAGGAAAACAGTCATCTGGGATTTCAGGCTCTGCAAGTTCAAAGAGAAATAAAAGCAGGGAACATGCTCATTTCAGAGTGCCATCTGCAAAGTAACAACAGCACAGAACAAAAGCCGTCGCTGCAGCTCAGCGGGGTGCTCGGGCAGCACTGCTCCGTGCAAAGCCCCCATGTGCCACCAAACGACATTCAAGCTCCGTCAAAGGGACACACGGAGGATTCCAAAACCCATCCTTTGTGCACAGGCACAACTAGGAGCTACCCTCGGCTGTGGCCTCTAAGGGGTAAGCGCCTGAGCAAGGCACGTTTAAGGCCCTGATCAGACAGCTCGGGCTTAGCGGGTTTAAGGGCCCCCAGCCCCGCCTGCATAGGCTAGGAATTCAGCATAATTTTATAGCTTGAGCATATCAAAATTAAACAAGCAAAATGCTTTAAGCTGCAACAAAGCAGGATTTGGGCACAGACTCCGGAGTCCAGAGTCTTAGTTCCCTCTGCATCAACTCTTCCCTTCCCAGAGCTGGGATTAAAACTGTGGAGCACGACGTGAGGGACAGCTGACGGCATCTTGCAGGCCACGTGCACGTTGCTGCGGCACAGACCCAAAGGAGGTGAGAGCTGCGGAGCTGGGGGTGCTGAGGCTGCAGTGGAGGAGGAAGCTTGGCAAGGCTTTTTCAGGGACGAGATGTGCAATCTGCATTGTAGCTTTTGGACAGCTATCTCTGCTGATTTAGTAATAAAATGCCATTTCCTCCACACAATCTTTTCTTGTTATAATTAAAAACTGACCAGCAAACTACCTCTTCATTACAGCAAATAAATAAAATAAAACTGCATGCATCTTCGCTAAAATGCTGTCTTTGCTAATTACAATGTTTTCTTTAAAAAAAAAAAATGTATTTCAAGGGTTTCTAATGAAATTCAAATGTATCTCCCCCAAACAGTATTCCTTGCTTTGAAAGCAAATAAAACTTTGCACTGAAACAGAGGTGACCTAGTTTAGGTTTCAGTTCAGGCTGCCTTGGGAGCTGGTTCCGAAGGTCACTGGGATCAGCGGAGAGGCCGCCTCGTCCACGGCTCTGGGCAGGAAAGCTCCAAAGGTGTCAGGCACGAGCGCAGCCATCGGCACGCAGCGGCGCAGCGAGGCCGTGCAGGACGCGGCCCCGTGTGTGCCCCGCCAGAGCTGCAAGGGAGCAGCTCTGCAACACGGGAAGTGTCTGCGGGGCGAACCTGAACAAGGAAGGGCTGCTGACAACACTTGCCTTTAAGGCATCATCTCGGTGGCCTCTTCAGGTGTTCCTACAGGCGCAGGGTGTTCCTCCTCGGCCGGGTCTGCGGGCACCGCGCGTGTGGGCAGCGGGGCGGGCACCACCAGAGGCTCCGGGCACATTCCCACTAGCGGATTTGATCCCAGCGGATGGCACTGCAGAGGAACAGCTTTGTTTTTAGCCCTGCTCTCCATAAGGGAACATATTCCATTGGGGAAGCTTCCAGCTGCCATCTGGGCAAGTTGGGAAATGGGACTTTCAAGGTGTTCAGATGGAAAAGGGACCAGGGGCTCTCCTGGCAAAGCAGCGAGCTGCGTTGAGGGACAGCCTCATCCCAGCCTTCCCAGCTGCAAAGAGCAACTGCAAATGGTTTAAAACTACAGGGTGTTTTAAGAACTCGCTTTCACAACACACACATTTCTCCGACAACGCGAACGCCTGAAATGGAAGTCACATTATTTTTGCTTCTGCTTGCCTCCTCCACTTGACAGAAGTACAGGGAGGGCAACGTTTCACCCTGCTGGGTAAAATGGAAGAGCTTTGCCCCATCCATGCTCTCCCGCCACGGTACTTTCAGCGCAGACACCTTTCCCAGACATTGCTCTCTGTTATGCAACTGGCAGTCAACACCGAGAGCCACCAAACCATCCGCGTCTGGACTCGTGTATCACAAAGTCCAAAGCGCCTGATCCTTGCCCGCGGACGAGACATGTGGAAGATGAAGCAAATAAATCTTTCCCCTTTGTCAATACCAGGACCAAGGCACGTGAAGACAACACTACGAAACACCTGGGAAACGTCACTAACAGGCAGACAGCGGTGTTTCTGTGTTTTGTCTCAAGCTTCCCCACCACTTCATACAACGCAGGGTGAGAACCATGGCTCAGTTCAGGGGGGAAGGCACCTCTGGAGGTCGCCCAGGCAAATTCCAGCTCAGAACGGAGCCGCGTTCAAAGTTACGGCTTGCACAAGAGCCTTGTGCTAACTATATTTGAACATCTTCTTCCAAGGTAAATCATATCACATGAAACAAAACATTTGACTACAGAGGGGAGGAAGGAGATGGCGTGTTCACATGTCACTGTTTTCTGTTTTTGCCAAGGAAAACCTGCCCAGCGTTCTTGTGCCGTCGCCACTAAAGCACTGAAGCGCTCCGGGGCAGCGCAGACCTTGGAGAAGCGCTCAAGCTCGCGGATGGTGACGCATCCCTCCCCGCCTGTCCTCCCTCTTGCCTTGCTGATAAAGTCCAGCCTCCTTCCTAAGGACTGTGAGGTTATATTTAGACACAGGAATTCCGCCTGCCCTGCAGTGGGGCAGCTGTCCTGGCTAGAAGAACACCCAGGTCCAAAGCAGCCCTGACACCGATGCGAGCGAGACGCCCCGCTGCAGCTGGAACTGCCACTGCGCCGTGCCGTCACAGCCGAGAGCCAGCTTGGACCCGAGGTGCTTACACTGCTTTGCAAATTCAGGCCGAGCTCTTCCTTCGGATGACGTTAAACCCATGCCATTTTCCCAGCTACAAAGCCTGGTTTAATCAAAGTTGCAATTAAACCTGACAACTTCATTGTGCAGACACCCTTAAATAGGATTAGGAGCACCTAAAATTAGTCTAATTTAATGTTAATCATTAATCCTTTTATCCACTCTTAATCCAATTTAAATGTCCACACAGAGCTTGCACAGACTTTGTTACTTCAGTTTAAAGCAAAATTGAATTAAAAATTATTTAAAATCAACACGAATTCTGAGTGACTCCATAGGAGGCATTTGCCCCACATGACTAGCAAGTCTGTCTGCTCTGTGCTCCCCTTGAAGCTCCATCTCTTATTTTGTGATTACATGAACATCTCCAACCATACCTAAAAAATGAGGCACAATTTAAAGCCCTCAGCAGCAGAAAGACACCTCCACATAAAGGCTTCAGGAGGCAAAGAAAAGAAACCCAGCTCCAAAAAAACACAGGGAAACTGCCACGACTCCAGCCTTCCCATTGCCCTTTGCATCGGGGATTAGCGGTGCCGGACACGGGGCTGCTCTTTGTGCGGGGCCAAGAGGCTGCGCCAGCGTCGCGGCCTTCCTCCCTGGAGCCACCTGGAACCCTCTGCCTCCTTGCTGTCTCCTCCAGCTATCTCTTCTGCAAAGTTCATTTTTCAAAGTGCTGCAGAGGGCAAAAACAGCAACTTGAATAGAAGAACTGGCTGCAACCTTTGCTGCCAAGTTGGCAGAAAAGATAAGGATTTTTTATTTTTTTTAAAAAGACAGACACTGAAGGGAGAGAGACGAGTCTTTAGCAACTTTTATAGCCAGTCTTGCAATATAATTTCCTAAGTGCATTCAAAACGTGGAAAAAAAAGACCCCGTTTCTGTTGGCGGTGTTTTCTGGAAGCGCCCTGGCTGCTCCGGGGGCTGCCGACACGCGGCCGCGCCGCAGCTCCGTGCGGGACGTGCGGCGCCCGCGCTGACTCATCCCCACACATGCCCAGGGAAGAGCCGGCCGGGAATAAAACACAAGTTTAAGCAGCGCAGGCACACGGGAGGCAGACCTCGTGCTCGCCACAGCAACACTGGCTGCTTTCACACAGTTACCGAGTCTTGCAGCATTTAGGGCGTTTCCTCAAGGCCTTCAGCTCCCAGGTACACGGCAGGAAAAAGGGAGCTTAACCCCAAGTCTCATCTTCCAGATACAGACAAGAGCTTGGGACTGTGATCCCAGCACAAGTAAGATCTAGGCTGGCTTCCATGAGTCAGTCCATGATTTTAGGGCATAATTCTGGCCATATCACCTCCCAGACCTTTTTTTTTTTTTTTTTTTTTTTTTCTGAAGGAAAGAAATTTAAATCCTTTAAGAAAAGAAAAATGTGACTTGGATAGCACCACTTCCAAGAATTACTCATTTTCTCAGAGCTCTGCTCTTGCGCCTTCGCCCACACTCAGACACAAACCAAGGCTCCCCCCAGCTGTGCTGAAGCCCACGCAAGGCCTGCGCGGACGGCCCGTGACGCCGCGGGAACGGGAAGCGGAGCCGCTGCTGAGGTTACTCGTTTCCCAGCACGGGGTGTACCGGGCCGGTGCTGGGGGCAGCACAGGCTGGGCTTTCCCCTCCGCTCTGGGACGAGCCCTCCCGGAGCTGGTTGCCAGCACAGCCCAGGGCACTGCTGGAGCAGGCTCTGCCCCCGGCGCCCAGCCCTTCCTCCCGGCCCTGGGGGCTCATCTGCCCTCCACGAGCACCAGGCGCTCCGTGGAAGCGCCGCTGCTGCGCCACGGCTCCCATCCCGCCCTGGCAGGGATTCCCGTTGTCCCTGCCGTGCGATGAGAAGTCTGCCCAGACTCCATAATGTGCCGGTGAACTCAGCAGCTGTAAATGCCAGCAGATCCTCCCGGCGCTAGCGGCTGTGTTGAGGTCAGCAGCCCGGGGCGTGCACGGCCGCACACACAGAGCAGCAGTGCCCATGCACCCATACGGTTAACGGCCCGGCCTCGGCGGAAGTGAGTGATGTAATGTGCTGCATGCCACTGACGAAATATTCCTTGGAAGCGCGCCAGGGGAGCAGCGTGACAGAGCCACGTCCCTTCCTTCCCAAGAGGGAAATGCGCGGTTCTTCCTTCGCGCAAACCACCAGGGGATTGCACAGGGTGTCACAGAGCAACTGTGGGGAAAATGAAAATAGTCTTAGCAGGTTCCCTGTAGCTTTCACTATTAGGAACTTCCAGTCTCTTATCTCTGATAAACTGAGTTGCTATCATGTACTGCATGTAATTTAACTCATGTTCCCTTTGCTATGAGCCACCTACAGAAGCCTTTAACAGCAGCCTTCCCAACACGAGCCAAGGGAAATCCTTGTTATGCTTCACTTATACCTTTTTTACTATTTCTTTCTTTACTGCAAGAAAGGAACAAAGTCCAACACATCTACTCTGCTGAATCCATCAAATTACACGAGCGCAAGGCCAGGTCCTATATCCAAATATTATGATGCTTTACGAGCTGACAGTTACCTGTTTTCCCCCTCTCCCCTAACTAAAAGCCTGAAGTTGCTCCATCAAGTTTGTCCCACCAAGGCGCAAAAGCCGCTCGGTGTCTCAGAGGATTCCCCAGCAAGAGGGGCTGGCCGCGGCAGGGCGGGAGGGGTTAAGCGCCGGGGGAGCACGTTATTTGCTGCATTATCCCAATCGCACGGTTATTTTTAGCCGCTGGCGCGCGGCGCGGGGGCGGCCCGTGCACGCGGCG